CTAATATTATTAAATTCATTTTTATGTAAAGCACAATAGTGTGGATTTTGGCTCTAGTATGGACCAAATTTCTTTCTTTTATCCTTTTCGTTATACTCATTTCTAGAATTAGAAATTATTTGATCCGATTTACCATCCTCTTAAATAACCTTTTTAGGAACATATGGACCAAATTCAATAACTTCCCAAATATTATAATCTATTAATTGAATAAATATTGTCAACCTAATATTCCAATAATTATAATGAGTACCATCAAATAAATGAGGACAATTTGTAGAATACTCCTCAATATTTTGAAAATGTGGTTGGCCATTACTCAAGATTGTGAAATCTTAAAAATTGAGCACCTAGCTCTGATATCAATTGATAGCCCAAAAATAACTAACCAAGAGGGAGTGAATTGATTTTGAATTTTTTTTCGAAGAATTAATCTAAATTCAAGTGAGTAAAGACCAAATAGATTAATTCAAATAGTAAGCGGAAATATAAAAGTAATAAGTAAAAGCGATAGATGATGCAAACGATATAACTGTGGATGTTTGATTCAAAACAATGATCTACGTCCTCTGTTACCAAGCTTTCTAGTACGAGTAAGATATTTTTACTATATTGATTGACATATGGTACAATATAACCTTTTACAACGCTTTTGGTGACTTTCAAACAAGGAGTGCCGATCCTTATACAATGTTGAGATTTATGAGACCTTAACATGATCCACACTATTGAGCTTTACAGGACATCAATATGACCCATACGGTGACGTACAACAAATAGCATCGATCTTTATACAATGTTGATCTTTAAGGGATTTCAACACGACCACACTTTATCAAAGTGATTTTAGAATGAAATTCGTCTATTTATAAATAATAAAAATAAATTAAGTACTAAGAGAGACTAACACTTCAATGAATAGTAATAAATGATAGCTCAAGTGTTAGATGAACACTTTGATGAATATGAGAGCCAAAAATTAAATTCAATCAATCAAAATGTTTCAA